GGAAAGGCTATGATCAGATTATTCCCAAAATTTTGAAAACTGAACTCTAGTAGTCATCATAGGATCATAGTTCTCTCTGTGGCAGCAGATCTCAGATATCCTACGGTAAGAAGCTTACCATGAGCATGGCACCTATACCTTGAATACCTTTACGGAGCCAAATATCTGGTTTTCTTTATCATGCTACACCCAGAAAAACTCTTGAGAAAGACCCAAAATGTGTATAACACACAGATATGACGCCGCTCAACTCTGGCTAAAAAAGGACCAGAAATCATGAGACGTGGATTTTGGACCCAATTCTACCTTTCATTTTTTTAGGACCAATCACAGCCTGTGCCTCAGATCATCCACCTGTGTATGTCCATCACTGTGAAATTGACTTGTGTCCATGTGATGATGCCCTTTGTCCCACTATTTGGAACAGAAAATTCATCATTTGGAACTAGTGCAACTCATCGCTGCAGCTCTGAAGTTACTCTAGGCTTGAACTCTGTTGCTTTATTTTAATGTAAGAAACCCTATGGGATTTGTGAAAAATACTTGGGGATCATTTTCTGAAAGGTCTAAGGAAGCAGTAGTTGTGCCACACAATGATGTAGGAGTTCTTTTGTAAAAGCCTAAACTGTTTTTACTGAGGAGGATTCTATAATGCTACATAGAAAGGAGCCAATTCCATGAGTAATTATTGCAGTTGGATTTCAAGTTCCCTTTTTGTGCCTTCATGCCCTTCTTTTTATTGTATCTCTAAAAGAAAAAAAAGGACAAAGACTTCTTAATAAACTTAGGAAGTGGTCCTTACTCTTTAAAGGAACTGTGCATAGAATGGCAACTCTTCCTTACCCTTTGCACACCTTAACATTGTTCTTTTTTAAATTGGCCATAGCAGGGGTTGTCCACACTCTGAATGTCTTGCAGGGACTGCAGGGAGTCTGCATATGTGAACATGGCATTCAGTTGGTAGCTTAGAGCATTCAGCTTCAACACTTACTTATATAGGAGGTATTTCTTTTGGTGCAATTCCATGTTGGAGTGTCTCCTTTGTCCTTTTTTCCCCTTTTGAAAAAGACATTTGGGTAGTAGTTTAATCGCTCAGGGTACTCTCCCTAATATAGTCAAAAATGAAGAAAAATGTTTATTCTAAAACTCTGTAGTCTGATGACTTAGAACCATCCTTGACCTTTAGGCCTAACATTTCCACAAAGAAATCAGCTCTTTTCCTTTACCTTTTAAGAACTCTTCAGTATTAACTGGTTTTAAAATTAGTAAATGTGAGATTCAATCACATAAAATCAGAGATTTTATTCCATTGTCACAAATGTATTTGACCTTTATAACTCCCTTCCACAAAATTTTAAGTCTAAGGATCTTTGAACATCCCTTGTAAGGAATAAGGCAGATGTTTAAAGTGGGATTTTTTGGGGGGTACTAACAAATCACAGGAACTGTGTCCTTAGGTGCTATAAGTCCAGCCATCCAGATTTCTGAGTTGTACTATAGTTTTGCCTTGTCACTATGAGGCCCTACTAGGTGTAATCATTCTCTCTGTATTTTAATTTTCCTTTCACCGATATAGGAACAAAATTTGTTCTCCTTTGGATTGGGAGCTGAAGCTTCATTTCCCTGGAAATGTGTCCCATTTATCTTCAAGTTGCAGCTCAAACATCACCTTCTCTCTGAATCCTTTCTTTCATTTCTCTAGACAGTTAGGGGCTACCATAATACTGGCTCATAACTGTATTATATGACCTCACATTGCACTGTAGTTACTTGACTGTTTCTCCTACTGTTCTGTGAGCTTATTGATGAGTGGGGATCATGTTTTACTCATGTTGATGTCTCCATTATTCAGCACAGTGCCTCACACAGAGTATATACTAAAGAACTGGTGGTTGGGTGGATGGATGGATGGAGACAGTTGGCTATTTATAGTTTTCCCAGCCACTGGCTCCAAGGGGATTGGATAAGACCTTAAGAATTGGATCAATGCAAATCCTCACCTGCCCTTCGAAGAGTCAATAAGGGCGTCTTTGCCTTTAAATATAGCAAATGTTATTTAGATTTTATACTTGTTTTTCTGTTTACCTCAGCATAGATGGTCTGAGGTTGGTGTGTAACAATATGTAAAATGTATGTTTTTGAAAATAATTTGTTTCCCCACAACTTTTGAAGATTTTTCTTGTCGTAAATACTAGCTTGGTCCCCAACTCATCGAAGAGCTAAGGTCATACTTCTTTTGAAGGACAGATAATGATTTTGTTTATTTGAAAAGCAGTATACCTGGATAACATGAATAATGCTTTTCCTTTCTTTATAGTCTAACTCTTTTAGGTCAGATTCTCTTAGTTGTGAAGAACAGACTGCTTCTAGCTAGTTTAAGCAAAAGAATTTACTGAAAGTATATGATGGCATCTCATGGAAACTAAAGAAGTTTCATAGGTTGGAAGAGTAGAAATAAGGGTAACTCTAGGGATCTCAGCAAAAATTTTGACTGTTTTTAAAGTGCTGCTGTACTGCAGTTCCATAGATTGCGAGGCTCTGTCTCTCAGCCCAAAATTCTCAAGAGAAAAAGATTTAATGGGCTCATTTGTCAGTTCCAAAGAGTTCCCTACACTTAACCCCTAGACTAACTACAAACAAGAGCACACACAGATACACAAAAACCTATCTTTACATGCAGAATAATCTTACTGCATCTGGAGATAAAGTGTTGTGTATGGAACAGAGGGTTATAATTACAAATCACTCATTTAATATTTATCAGATACTTCTTGAGCCTGTACTCTGCACAAACAGTGGGAGATAAAAAATTTACAAAAGGCTCATTAACCTCAAGGAGCCCTGCTGTTGAGTTGATAAAGCAAGTAATATGAGAGCCATCATAGGTAGAAGGTGATTAAGCCAGCATGAATGCCAATTATTCATAAAGACCATGTGGATTTGGAGTTAAGAAGAAATTTCCAACTGGGGCAGATGGGAAACTTTGTGGAGGTAAAAATTGATTTACACTTTAAAGGATGAGTAAATGAAGTGGTCCTTGGAGTTCTCAAACTTCATTCTCTCTACCTGTGGAAATGGTTTATGTCATATATAACAAAATGTAATATATGTAGCAAAGGTAGCACTTGGTGAACCTGGCAGGGAAAGGGCGGGCTCACCAAGTACTGTGCTATTGGATTCTGTGAGCAGAACTCAGCAACAAAGGCTAAGTGGAAGAATGGTGCTTCCAGATACAGTGTGGTGACTATGCTGAAGTCCTTCCCTGATGCAGTTTCTCTGCTGACAAATACACATCCTGGGGACAGGAGAGCCATATGTGAAACACTGGTCCAACTAAACCCATAACACCTTTGGCTTAGAGTTGGTCTGAGGCCCCTCAAAAAGAGCAGACCACAGAAGTATTTCTCTAGTAGTAAAAGAAGGCAAACCCTGAGGGCTCAGGGAAGTAGGACATGCAGTAGGGTGACAGAGAGATAGTCTGTGAGGGCTGAGATGGAACAACGGCAACAGTGTGAGCAGTAGCCAAGGCACTGAGGACTTAGGGAAACTTGCAGATGAGTTTTTAGTTACCCAAAGGAGAAAGCAGCTATGGAGTTAGGGAAATTTGCCTGTTAAAATGATCTCATGTATCTACAGGCTAGTGAATCCTGGGGGCATTAGAGTTGTACATAAATGAGTTCCTCAGTATCTGCAGAACACCCACCCAGTCCCTCGTCCCCATTCCAAGTCCTCCCTCAGGCCAGAATGATTCTGGGGTCATTTTATGCATTTAGCCTTTTCTACACGTAGGCTAGACAGGCTGTGCAGCCATTTTCTTGGGACCTTATCTTAGTGCCCACCTCTATCTAATAAGCAGCAACCTAGAGCCACAAGTCAGGGACTCTGAATTCTTTATTCAACGAATATTTACTGAACACCTACTACATGCCAGACATGGTGCTAAGTCCTGGAGATACAGAGATGAATATATGTGGTCTCTGCACTCAAGATTAATCTATGGAGACAGACCAACAAACAGGAAATTATGATGTAAATGTAAGTTCTATGATGGGTGCTGAATCTAATCTTGCCTCCCAGAAATCTTCATGGCACTGTCAGTACTGCAGCTAGTCCCTCTAACCAGTCACTTCTCTGGGCCTTATCTATAGAATTTCCAGCTATCAAATTACAGAAGTCTATTTACTGTATTCTACTAAAGAATGCCGCAATTTTGAATTACAACTAGAAAGGAATAAAGGGGGTAAAAGTTTTGGCAAAGAGAATAAGGGAGTATGTTTGGTAACTAACAAGGATTAAATTAAATTACACAAACCGGTTTGGTAATATTTTAAATGTGTGCTTTTAATGAAAACTATACCTCGAATCATTTATTAATTGCAGAGGCTGTAGTGATGGGAAATTATTGCAGAACAAACACTTGATAGAAATTTAAGAAATTCAACCTTTTGAGAAGCAGTAGGCATATGAACTAAGGGGAATGCCAAAAGGCAATTCTTCAGAAAAAACGTTCTGGAAATCTTGGTGTAACTGGCACCAAGACCATCTCCAATGCCTTGGGCCTTCCGGAAACCGTAAAAGACAGCGTACGAGAGGACCCCGCCCAGCCTGGGCGGCTTCTCCAGCTGTGCCAGGGAGGGTGGGGCTTGTTTCTGAGCAATTGCCTTTCCCGTTTCCCTACTCCATTTGCATTGAACATTGCACTTTATTCTTTATTTATGTGAGATTTCTGGCATTTTAGATACGCTAAATAAGGCTGTCACCGCATCAAGCTGAGTGTAACTAGCTCCAAACCCCGATCGCAGGCGCCCAGGAAGCCGGAAAAAAACGGCGCAGCCGCACCGCACTGAGCGTAACTGCTCGCTACCAACTCACTTCCGGGGGCCGGGCCTCCCGGGGCTGCGGCCCGGCCGGGCCCACCCCACCGGAAATTATTTTCAGCTCCGGGTCCGCCGTCGCCCCGCCCCCTGACCTTTGTTCTGACGGGGGCGGGACTTCCTGTCTCGTGTTTTCGGACACTGCGTCCTGAGACTTAGGGTTGGGAATAGTTCTAGCGTGTGGTTGCAGAGCTTGCTGGCCGCAGATTAGCTTGGGCCTAGTGCACGGGCACTCACTCGTTCGTGCAGCTACCTCACTGTCTCCCACGGCACCTCCCGGCTGCTTTGGGGTCCTAAGCGCCAAGTGTCCCGGAGGTCGGGAGAGGGCCATGGAGGTGCCGCCGCCGGCGCCACGGAGCTTTCTCTACAGGGCCTTCTGTCCTTTCCCCCGAGTGTTTGCTGCCGAAATTGTGGCTGCTGACTCGGAGGCCCTTGCGAAGGATCGGACGCTGCCTTCCTACGTCCCAGAACCCTATTATCCGGAGTCCGGATGGGACCGCCTCCGAGAGCTGTTTGTCAAAGAGTAAAAGTGTACAGGGTCTGGAGGTGGGGGTGGAGGGCCGCGAAAGATGGGTCCTGCAGTCTGGGTCCACCTGGAGCGAAAAACCCCAAGGGTGGTGTGGTTTAAAATGAAATTTGAGGTTCTGTTTGTACCCCAAGCTTGTATCCTGACATTGCCATTGGATGGTTCTGTTGGTTGACAGGAAAGTTTTTAAATGATAAAGGTCAGACTCTCTGAAAGTCTGATATATTTAGCGAATATAGTCTTAAGTGTGATCATCCCTCTGATTTTACAGATTGGAAAAGTTGGGGCAATCTAGTATTAAAATTGGCCCAGAACCCATGCCTACAGAAATCCACTCCAGTGTTCTTTTTCATATTTCAGTTGATCCCAAACTTTGGTATTTCATGACCACAAACGTCATTACCCCGTATACATACCCCACCATGGGGATTGGGGAAAGAGAGTTGCTCATTTTTTATTTTGCCAAATAAAAAATTAAAAATAGTAGCATCTATTGCCTCATGACTTTATAAAAGAAATTAGCTATGTTTTAAAATAAAAAGGATATTATTTTAGAATAAAGAATAACTTTGAATTCAGTTGATTTTATCTCATAAAAACTCAGGATATTGAATTCATTAATTTATTTCGTCATTTATTCATTCATTAATTACTGATGAGAAGTTTGCCCTTACATGAATTAATCTATACTGTGTTATCAATTAATTAAATTAAAAGTTGAAGCTTCATTATGTTGCTGAGATAGTTGGAGCTGGCAGACTTGTATTTAATTACTCTAGGTTTCATCATTTTAAATGATGAGACATTTTAAATATAATGAGGCATCTTTACTCTGTGGTCCCTCAACTATTTGAGATACTTGTGAAAGATCCTATGTAGTATATAACATAAGGGGGTTATTTTGCTTAACTTTATAAACCACAGAATGTTAGAACTGAAAGAAATTTGAAATATAATGTAATTCTCATGCTTCTCCGGGTCATGGATCAGGTCAGGGTTTGGAGAGATTGTGATCTGGCTGCAGGTCAGCTAGCAGTGAGTGATAGAACCGGGACCATAACCCCATTGTTATTTATAGACTAAGTACTGTTACCTTCTTCTCCACCATTCATTAACTGTTTGGACCAACCATATAACTTCTTAGAGCCTCTGTTTGCTTACTGATAAAATGGAGATAAATATCACTTATGTCATAAAATTATTCAGAGGATAAAAAAAGAGGCAAAACATGTTCATCTCCTGACTTGTTAAGTCTTAAGCTGTTATATTTTATCTTTTCCAAGTTCTACCATAGATCAGTTTTTGTGTAGATACTGTTTTTAAACTTATTCACTATAAAAGATAAAATATAAAGTTCAAATTATAACAGTTTTCCTGTTGACATAAGTTTTCTAAGAGATTTTATTTAAATTTCTCTCTTGTGGGAACTATAAAGACAGATTCTGATTTCAGAAATATTGTGGTTATCGACAATTAGAATTAAACACTTGCGCAGTCTCTGAAGAAAGCAAGTTAGTGATTAAATAAGATAACATTTGCTAGTTTACTTAGGGCTGTTATTTATCGTAACTTAATACTTACAAACACCTATTTGTTAGAATAGTTTCAGGAGGACATCTTAGAAGCTCCATTAGCAGTTATAGTTTCTTATGCATTTGAGAGTAATAAATAGTAATTTTTCCTTGTTATTTTAGATTGGCGTATGCTGCCCACTGCTTAGTGAGCTTTCTCAATGCTTTTTATAGTACAGGCCTATCTGAGCATGTCATAAAAATTAAGTAAAGTATTTAGTAAGATAGGGTTTTGATTTATTTATTTTTTGTACATCCAACATGTGTATGAATGTTTTCATTCATACGCTGCCCTAAAATCTCCAGGCAGTTTGTGTGGTTTCTAAAACTTAGCTTAAAAATCAAAAGGGAAAATAACTGATATCTACATTCAACTCACAAGTAGCTTTCCTAGCAGCTGGGACTATAGGCACACGCCACCATGCCTGGCTAATTTTTAAATTTTCTGTAGAGGCAGGGTCTCACTACGTTGCCCAGGCTGGATTCGAACCCCTGGCCTCGAGCTATCCTCCTGCCTTGGCTTCACTATTCTGATTTCTAGCAGCATAGCTTAGTTCTGTCTGAGATTTGTGTTACTTTAAATATAACTACACTATTTAGTTTATTAGAGGATTCTACCCATAATGAAAAATGTTGTGGTATTAGCATTTGGGATAATTCTGATCGTAGAGTCTTTTGGAGAGCCATATCCATAAGATAATCCCAAATACCATTGTCTTTTTGATGTTTTAGTAAACAGCAGAGAACTTCAAAGGAACTTCAGGATATCTATAAGGCGGCAGTTTCAGCAGGCGTCATTGGCTGGGCATATGGGGGAATACCAGCTTTTATTCATGCTAAACAACGCTACATTGAGCAAAGCCAAGCAGAGATTTATCATAACCGGTTTGATGCTGTGGTATGTACTGGTGGTCTGAAGGTATTTGGGGGCACACTGACTTAGCAGTTCACTGAATACTTAATCATTCAGTTGTAGGGTTTGGGGGAGAGTTGTAGGATATCAGAGTAAAGAAATGATATGTATACTTAATAACGGTGGAAGCACTAATGCTAAAGTGCCTACACGTGGCTTGTCAGCCACTGTGGCTCTTCTTTCTGAAATATATTTCTAATCCCCTGCAAAGTCATCAAGGCTCAGCTGTAACATAGTTACCTCATTCACAAAGCCTCCTCAAATACACTAGCTCACACTAGAACAGTAATTAACATTTATTTATAACTTTACAGTTTATAGAGTACTAACTCATTTGTTATTTTATTAGATTGGAATGTCAGTTCTTTTGTATAGATGAGATTAAAGCTCAGAGAGTTTTTTTTTAACTTTTTATTTTTAAAGTATGTCAGACTTAGAAGTTGCAAAAATAGTGCAAAGATTTCTTATATACCTTTCACCCAGATTCTCCACATGTTAACAGTTTACCATGTTTGCTTTATCACTCTCTCTTTGTGTAATATGAACTATTATTTTTTTTCTGAAGTACTTGAGTAAGTTATAGACATGAATATTTCAGTGTGTATTTTCTAAAATCAAGGACATTCTTTTATATAACCACAATTATAATTATCAAGATCAGTAAATTAACACTGACATAGTACTATTATCTTACCTACAGACCTTATGTAACTTTTGCTTGTTGTCCCACTAATATCACTCATTTAAAAAATAAATAAAAAATGTGGCTGGGCATGGTGGTTCATAATTGTAATCCTAGCATTTTGGGAGACTGAGGCCGGAGGATAGCTTGAGCCCAGGAGTCGAGGTTGAAGTGAGCTATCATGATGCCACTGCACTCTAGCCCAGGCAACAGAGTAAGACTCTGTCTGGAAAAAAAAAAAAAAAAAGTATAAGAAATCAATTTTATTTTCTGGTCCAGAATCTGGTACTGGATCACAATAATGAATTTGCCAGTCATGACTCTTGTCTCCTTTGGTCTGTCTTTCTTTGTCTTTCATGACTTTAACTATAGGCCATTTATTTTGTAGAATATCCCTCAATTTGGGTTTGTTTGATAGTTTCTCATGGTTAGCTTCAGGCTATGTTTTTTGGCAGGAATACCCTAGAATTTATGTTGTGTCCTTCCCAGTACATTATATCAGAAGCACATGATATTTCTTTGTCCCTTTACTGGTTATGTTTACTTTAGTCACTTGGTTAAGATGGCCTCGTCCAAGTTTATCCAGTGTAAAGTTTCTATTTTTCCCTTTGTACTTTTTCCCTTTGTATTAATTACTAAGTATTTTATGAACACTTGTTGGATACTTTGAGACTATGTAAATTTCCTGTTTTTCATCAAATTTCTACCCTCTAGTTGTAGCATTTAATGATGATTCTTTCCTGAAACAATTATTACTGCGATGGTTGCCAAATTTGAGACAGAGTCTCACTCTGTTGCCCAAGCTAGAGTGCTGTGGCGTCAGCCTAGCTCACAGCAATCTCAAGCAATCCTACTGCCTGAGCCTCCCAAGTAGCTGGGACTACAGGCATGCGCCACCATGCCTGGCTAGTTTTTTATATATATATTTTTAGTTGTCCAGCTAATTCCTTTCTATTTATTTAGTAGAGACGGGGTCTCGCTCTTGCTCAGGCTGGTCTCAAACTCCTGAGCTCAAATAATCCTCCCACCTTGGCCTCCCAGAGTGCTAGAATTACAGGCGTGAGCCACCGCGCCCAGCCCAAATGGCCATTTTCTAAAGTCTTGTCATTCTTTCTACATTTTTCGTCCAGTTTTCTGCTCTAAGGAAGTGTTTTCCTTTCCCCCCATTTATGTATTTATCTGTTTATCTGTTTATAATTTTTTTATATCAGTATGGACTCATGGATTCTTATTTTATTCTATAGTTTATAATCCATTACAGGTTGAGCATCCCAAAAACCTGAAATGTGAAATGCTCCAAAATTCAAAACTTTTTGAGTACCGACATGACACTAAAAGGAAATGCTCATTGGAGCATTTTGGATTTGGGATGCTCAACCAGTAATTATAATGCCAATATTCCAAAATCCAAAAAAATCCTAAATCTGAAACCCTGCAGGTCCCAAGCATTTAAGGTGCTCAACCTGTGCTATCATTATTTATATTGATACTCAAAAATGCCTAAATTTGGACAGTTGGAGCCCTTCAAGCTAGCTCCCACATCCTTTCAATATGTCCCCATCATTCTTTAAGTGGGCCTTTACTTTTTGGCACAGCAAAATATTTCTGGCTCATCTTTTACTTTTCAACCACCAGCCCTGAAATAGGCCATTTCTCCAAGGAGCTTCTTTTAGTTAAGAATGGTATTTGGAAACCAAGATCTATGTGCTAGGTGCTCATTGCTACTGGGTTATCATTGCTTTTAGGCCCTAGGCAGACAGAGCTAGACAATGTGTGTGTGTATGTGTGTGTGAGAGAGAGATTTATATACACATTCATACATACATCTATATCAGTGTCTGTCTACCTATTTATTGAAAGCCGTGAGTTCACACTGATACCTCTCAGAGAAGTTTTGGCTTTCCCAAGATCGTATAATAGTTTAGGATCTGCTCAAAGATTCTCTGATTCTTTAAAAATCCACTTTACCCCATGATGATATACCAAACTTGTTCCATGGTGGTTTAGCAAAAATGGGCTATGGAAACAGACAAAATGTCTTCTAATTCTGACTTTATTCCTTGCTGGCTGGATGATGTTGATTATAAACTTCCTCCTAAGTTTTAGTTAAAATTAAAACACCTTCCCGAAAAGAATGTTACAAAGATTAAATGAAGTAATGAGAGGGTGATCAGAAAGTTTAGTTTTTTTCTTCCTCTGTTCTTTTCCCGAATATATGTATTACCTTAATCCTTACCCTTTTAAATATAGCATTTACTCAGTTCCTTATGTTTTTCTTTTCCCCAACTTTTCTTAACTATAAAAGGCATGTCTAATACTGATTTTATATCTTTCATGGTAGTTAACACATAGATTCTCAGCAGATACTTAGTTGATGGATTACTTGGTTGACATTAGCAATTCTTAGTTCCTTTCCTCCCTCCTGATAGAATATAGAATCTATATCGGACTTTTGCTTAAGCCTTATTACTTAAAGAGTGATATTTCTAGAGATTTTCTATTGTTCCTGTTTAGGTATACCTGACTAATCCATAGCTGAAATTCTTCCACCATAGTTCTACAATAAGGAAAGTATCAAGCTGTCTTGGAACCTCACACCTTTTTTATTAACTTTAGCAATGTGCGCACCGTGCTGCCACACGAGGTTTCATTCGGTATGGCTGGCGCTGGGGTTGGAGAACTGCAGTGTTTGTGACTATATTCAAGTAAGTGCTCTCTGAATTATGAGATACTGAATTGTCTTGCTATTCTTTTAGGAGTGTATCTTTTGAGCAAGTAGGATTATAAAAACTGAACACCACATGAAAGTGATTCACAGTGCCTTTTTCTCAAGAACTTTTGTCTGTCTTTGTAAAAGACTGGTCCAGTTGTTCCTCCTCTATGACAGAGGTCTGGAACACATTGAAGGGGCCTGGACTAGGACCAGGGATTGATATAGTAGGCTCTTCTAAATATCACCTCAGTGAAAATAGCACTCAAAAAGGTAAATGGGATATGCTTTAAATCTTATATTCCTTTTCCTCCCTTTTTCCCAGCACAGTGAACACTAGTATAAGTGTGTACCGAAATAAAAATGCCCTAAGCCATTTTGTCATTGCAGGAGGTAAGACATTTTTGTTCTTGTTTATATTTTTCAATCTTCTCAAATATGGTTTTGATTTAAATGTATAAGAACTTATAGATCAGAACTATCGAGCTCTTTGGTTGGCCTCACATCACATCTCATTCAACATTAATGCAAAATGATTTATGGAGAGCATTGTGCTTGGCCCTTGGTATACTTAATGAACAAGACAGCAAGGTCCCTGCTGTCATTGAAGGTTAAAGTCTAATGTGGATGGGAAAAAACAAGTTGCTGTGATAAAAAGTAACAAATAGGTGGGGCAGTGGGATCTAGTAAGGACAGGATGATCAGAGAAGGCCTTTCTAAGGAAGTGACATTTAAGCTGATACCTATGGGAAGGAGCAGTCTTCCAAAGAGGGTGTCCTAAGCAGAGGAAACATCAAGGGGGAAGGCTCTAAGGCAAGAAATTTCCTTCAAAGCAGGTTAATATGACTCGAGCAGAGTGAGAGGAAGAGTAGCTTGAGATGAGACTGGTGAGTTGAGGTAGGAAGTGACCAGATTTTTTGTGGTATGAGCTTGGGTTTTATTTTACAGCTCTCTGCCTCTAGTACGTATATCCTCTTTTAAATGAGCATTAAAAGTAGAAGGTAGAATGGTGATTACCAGGGGCTGGGGTAGGGAGGGTTGGGGAGATGTTGCTCAAAGGATACAAAATTTCAGTTAGGAAAAATAAGGTATTGATTGTACAACATGGTAACCATGGTTAATAACAATGTATTATGTACCTGAAAATTGCTGAAAGAGTAGATTTTAAGTGTTCTCAACAACAACAACAAAAAGATAAGTATGTGAGGTAATGGTATGTTAATTAGCTTGATTAGCCATTTCACAATATATACATATTTTAAAACATCATGTTGTATACCATAAATATATATAATTTTTATTTGTCAGTTTAAAAAATAAATAATTTTTTTAAATGAGCATTAAAAAAAGAAAAAGCATTTTAGAAAGGTAAATGAAGTTAACTGCCATAAATACTTAATCACTCACTCATGTACATTCTCTTCCATACAGAAACACACACACAGATATGCTGAATATAACATTCTTAAAATGTTTTATTTGGAAATAATCTGAAGCATACAAAAGGTTGCAAAAGAAAAAAAAATAATAAAATAGTCTATGCCGTTTACATAGAGATTTAGCCATTGTTACCAGTTACCCCATTTGCTGTATCTTCTTGCTCCTAGGTTTGCTCTCTCTCTTTCTCTACATATGTGTGTACACAGATAGGAAAACATATACATATAAATAATTTGAACTTAAAATTTTAATGAAAACTTTTAAAAATATAAATCTAGAAATAGCTGGGTGTGGTGGTACCTTGCTGTAGTATCAGCTGCTCAGGAGGCTGAGGCAGGAGAATCACTTGAGCCCAGGAGTTTGAGGCTGTGATGACCTGCACTTCAGCCTGGGTGACACAGCAAGACCTCATCTCTTGGGGGGGGCAAACTACAAATAGACATTAATAACATTGGAGCAGCTAGAATTTGCTGTTTTTAAGTTGCAAACACTGTTGCTCAGTTTTGTTTTCCTCCTCCCGCTTTCTTACTTGCCCTTGCTATGTTCTCTGGCATATATTCTGTTAAATGCCAGAACCAGAAACCAAGGAATGATATGGTCTTGCTCTTTATTCTATTCTTTCCAAACTTCTAGTCCTATTAACTACACTCCTTAAATATATAGAGAATCCCTCACCTCTTGTTTATTCCCAGTGCTACTATCACATCTTCCCTGTTTCTAATCTTGGTGTGCTCCACTACCTCCACTTCTTACCTAGTTACTTTTTTGAAATATAAGTATGATTTTAACACTTCTATGTTTGAAATTTTTCTGTAGTTTCCTATCACTTTGATGTCGATTCCTGATCCTCCATGCACCAATCTTTTGCTTCAGCCTTATAATCTTGGATTTCCCAAACCCAGCATATTCTTGCTTTACGTGAATTGATCCCTCTTCTTGAATGCAATTTTCCACTCCCACAATTAATTTTGTTCAGCTTCTACTCAAAGTAAAGATCATTTGTCAGCCTCAACTTCCCTAAGCAGTCCTCCCTAGCCCCCATTTCCCTATCTTTAGTTCTGCTTAGGTGTCTCTGCCCTGTGTTCCCATAACTCACTATAAATAGTTTTACTAAAGTATTTATAACACTATATTGGAGCTGTTTACTTGTTTTGCTTCCCACTGGACTGACTGACTTGAATTCAGAAAAACTGTTTGCCTTTCATAGCACAATTGCTTGACACATAGTAGATAGTATAAATGTTTCTTGATTTAATGTAAAAGTTATTTGTAAAATAAGAAGTGAAAAATATATCTGACACAATATTAATTTTTATCTCAAACTAGCAACCAACGTCATACCTAGTGGTGTAACACTAGAGTAATTTCTCCTTAAGTCAGAATAATGTTCAGGATGTCTCTCCTTACCATGATTATTTGGCATTGGTCTGGACATTCGTAAAACATATTCATCAAATATATTCAAAATATATTCTGGAATGGCTGAGTTAAGAGCTTGGCAAATCCTTTCCCCAAAACGCAGCAATAAAACTGGATGAAATTCTCAAAAACCACCAATTAAAGATTCTGGAAATTGACCAAAAGCACACAACAAATTGAGAAGCATTTATTCAAGAATATCTGTTGAATCTTGTTAAGAACAGTGAGAGTCTGTGGTATTTCAGCCTGAGGGTGCACCCATCACTTACCCTCCAGCTCCATGGTTCAGATGTTTCACAAAGGCAGGACAGGCTGAGAGGCCTAGCAGTTCTGCTGCTTGAGGGGGCTGACGTCATTTGGAGCAGAGCACAGAAAATTTCATGCCTAGGAATTTGCTAAAAGCAATTGCAGACAATCAGGGAATGATAACATCACAAAGCTAACCTGAGCTTTTCATACTGTTTGGGGCAAGCAGTAGACTGGCAGACTAGGCAGAGTTTTAATGGGGCTATCTAAGGAACTAGGACGGTCAAAGAAGGCCTTAATAATATCCTACTTATCCCTGGTACTCTGGAAGATTACACACATATGTAAAAATTCACATATACTCAGGAGAGACTGGTGAGGGCCCTAGGAAGCCAGTGCCGATCATATTTTAGAAAGTCACAACCCCAAATGCCATAATCTTAAATGTTGAAATCCTGAAAGATAAAAATTCGCAAAGATTAAAGTCCATAAAGTCTAAAATCCCTAACATCTAGAATCCCCAAAATCACAATTCTGAAAGATTAAAATCCCAGATGTTGAAATCCTAAAAGCCAAATTCTGAGGAAGGGATTAGTGCATTTTTGGTTGTATGCAGGATACTTTGTCTTATATTAGTTTGCATAATGTTAATTACCTTGTTATTATCTTTTGAGGAATTAAGTACAGTTTAAGGAGATGCATACGGATGCCAAACTGACAAGAAGTGGACTTAATTTTAGGTGTCCACTTGACACATTTTTGGAATTAAATTAGTACTAATCTGAAGTAAATAATGATAAATTAAGATGCATATTGTAATCCCTAGAGTGACTAATAAGAAAGCAACTAATTAAAGTATTAGAAAGGTCAAAATAGCATTAAACAGGATGTGTAGAAAACAAATAGCAAAATGGCAGATCTAAATCCAACCATATCTATATTAATATTAAATATGAATGAATTAAACACTATTGGTGTGTTTTTCTCTGAACAATTTAAATATTTCACCCCACTCTCTTTTTGCTTGTTTGGTTTCTGAAAAGTCTGATGTGATTGTTATCTTTGCTTCTCTATGAGTAAGGTTTTTTTGTCCTATGGCTTCATTTAAGATTTTTTTTCTTTATCTTTGATTTTTGCACTTTGAAAATGATATGCCTAGGTGTAATTTGGGGGGGCATTTATCCTGCTTAATGTTTTCTGAGCTTCTTGGATCTATGGAGGGTTGTCTGACTTTAATTTGGGAAAAATTCTTGGTCATTATTGTTTCAAGTATTCTGTTCCTTTCTCTTCTCTTTCTGATATCCAATTACACTTACATTATACCTTTTTAGTTGTCCTACAGTTCTTGGATATTCTGTTGTTGTTCCTATTTTTTGTCCGTCTTTTTTCTCTTTGTTTTTGTGTTTTACAAGTTTCTCTTCACATGTCTTCAAGCTCAGAGATTCTTTCCTCAACTGTGTCCAATCTACTAATTAGTGCACCAAGGGCATTCTTCATTTCTGATACAGTGTTTTTCATCTCCAGCATTTTTTTTGGTTCTTTCTTAAAATTTCCATCTTTCTGCTTACATTGCCCATCTGTCTACTTTATCCATTAGAGCCCTTAGCATATTAATCATAGTTGTTTTAAATTCTTCAATAATTCCAGTATTCCTACTATATCTGAGTCTGATTTTGGTGCTTGTTCTCTCTTTTCAAACTGTGTTGTTGTCTTTTAGTATGCCTTGTAATTTTTTTCTTGTTAGCTGGACATGGTGTACTGGGTAAAAGGAACCGTGGTAAATAGGTCTTTAGTAATGTGGTATTAAGGTGTGACAGAGGGAAAGTATGCTATACTCCTGTGAGTAGGTCTTAGTCTTAGTGAGCCCGTGCCTCTGAACTATTAACTTCATAAGTGTTTTTCAGGTTTTTTCCTCCCCTGGATAGCTAGAGTGGGTTGGAATTGGGTATTTCCCTTCTCCCACATGGAGGCTAGCGCAGGTTGCAGTTGGATATTCTCCAGGTTGGTTAGTCTCCGACAAAACCCCAGTAGGTTAGGCCGTGAAAATTGTTTATCTTGAGGGCAGGCCTTGTTAAAAATACATTAACACAGAAGAAGAAAAGACAGTGCTTTTAGATAGGAGGGAACAGAATTTAGTATGGCCCCAATTTGTTTTTAAAGATATTTTGTTTGGAAGACCAGAAAAAAAAAGACGTAACTCATTACAGACTCTGGGTAATGGTATTAAAAGTGATTTTTTTTTCTTGTTAATTTAGAAAATTTACAAAATGAATATATAATACTTAAATAAAAAATATAAACCTCAAATGTTATTCTTTAAAAAGTGTTACCACCTCAAATGGCATTAGTTGCATTATGCATAGTGGAAGAGGAAAATGAGCATCATTATGTACCAGTAGGAAGAAAAGAGGCCCCTCCCTGCACTGACCACCAGATGGCATTGTAGGCCAAATGCTGCCTGCCGTCTTACCTGAAGGATGCAGGGTAGCAGGACGGAAGGGGTGACCTGGGGGAAGGTGTGAGCTGCAGGGGCTAATGAAGGTTTTTCTGTTTTTTATTTTGAGAATGCTTTCCTTGAAGAAGGAAGAAATGAAATAGATAGAAGGGAAAAGATTTCAGATTTTTAGGGGAGATGGGCAAAAATGAAACAGAAAGAAAAGAAATTGGCTCACACCAGTAATCCTAGCACTCTGGGAGGATTGCTTGAGGTCAGGAGTTGGAGACCAGCCTGAGCAAGAGTGAGACCCCATCTCTACAAAAAATAAAAAACTTAGCTGGGCATGGTGGCGAGTGCCTGTAGTCCCATCTACCTGGGAGGCTAAGGCGGGAGTATCATTTGAGTCCAGGAGTTTGAGGTTTCAGTGAGCTATGATGATGCCACTGCACTCTAGCCAGGGCAACAGAGCAAGACTCAAAAAAAAAAAAAAAAAGACAAGACAAGAAATTAGATTCATGGAACAGATCAGGGATTTATTTTTATAAAAGGAATTGGCAGAGTAGATGGGTAGCTACCTATATTGGCATTTTAGGTTCAGGAAATCTAGGCTGTAGTGGTATTTTAATGTTGGGTTCAGAAAGCTAACTCAGGTGTTTGTGTCCTTCTTATAGAAAGAAAATTTTAAAATGGAATTTTAGTATTTAATTATGATTTAATGTTGCCTTCTTTTATTAAACAGCTGTTACAGGAAGTCTTTTCAGAATAAACTTAGGCCTCCGTGGCCTGGTGGCAGGTGGTATAATTGGAGCCTTGCTGGGGTAAGCATTAACATGATTTGATTCTAAATTGGCACAACTTTCATTAATGGATTGACTATTAAAAAATCTTTTTATTTTCTAAAGAGCAAATTTAATCCTTAGAGCCTATAAAAGATCTTCTCCAGTCTTATATTGTCAGTAGTTTTGACTGTCCAGTTCTAATTCTACCCCAATTGTTTATCTTACTTACAGTTTTTACTTAAAGTTTATTTTATTTACAGTTATCACAATACAGTCGTCACAATAAATAATTTACCATTGATTCAATACAACTATCTAAGATAGAGTCCTTATTTAAAATTCCTCTTCACTGTGTAAAAATGGTTTAAATATCACTAACACCTGAAACTTATTTGTAGTTTGAACAAAGATATTTATAAGGAACAGGAAAAAGGAATAAGAAACACTTAATAAGCATATTCTATAAAAATTTTGAGTTAGGTTTTGTTTGTTTAGCTTAATAAATTTTTTTAAAGTTTTCTTCCTCAACTTTTTATTTTCAACAATTTCCAACCTATAGAGAAGTTGAACGAATTAGTGCATTGAAACCCTATGTACCCTTCACCTGGATGCACCAGTTGCTAACACTTTGACTGTTTGTTTTCTGTCTCTCTCTCTATGTGTGGGATGTGTATGTATTTCTTTCTCTTTTTTCTTTGACTAAACCATACCCTCATGAAACTTCACCCCCAAATATATCGGTATGTATCTCCCAGGATAAAGAACATTCTCCAGTGAAATCATAATACAGTTTTACATAAATAGTGTTTCAATACAACTATTTAAGTTAGAGTCTATATTCAAAATTACTCAATTATAATAATCCTCAAAATCTTTCAGTTCTTCTATTTTTAGTAGTTGGCATTTGTCTAAATAGAAGAGTTCTCCTTTCCCTTCCACCTAATTCACCCCTCTTTGCACCTCCTTTTCAGAAAGAGGTAACACTATAGATTTAATGATTTTTTAATTTTATTTATTTTCCAAAAAATTAAGTATGTTGTAATCCACTGCTGACATTATTTTTGTTGTACTGTTAATAAACCAGCTTGCTTTGAAGGGAAAAATTACAGAAGTTAGCAGCAAAAATAATTTTTTTTATTATGGTATAAAACACAGCATAACATTTACCATCTTCACCTTTTTTAAGTGTACAGTTTGATAATGTTAAATATATTCACATTGTGTGCATGTAGAACTTCTTGGTCTTGCAAAATGAAGCTCTATGCCCGTTAAAGACTAATTTCCTCTCCCATTCCCCCTAGCCCTCAACAGCCATCTTCCTACTTCCTATTTTTATGATTTTTGACTACTTTAGATACTTCATATGAGTAGGATCATATTTGTCCTTTTGTGACTGGCTTATTTCACTTAGCATAATAATGTCCTCCAGGTTATCCCTGTTGCAGCGTGGGATGGGATTCCCTTCTTTTTTAAGGCTACATAATATTCTGTTGTATGTGTGTATCACGTTTTCTTTATCCATTCATCTGTTGATGGACATGTAGGTTGCTTCCACTGAGCAAAAATAGTTTTTAAAATGAGGTTACTTAAATTGTAGCCAAAGGGAATTTAAGTTATATCAATGTCAAAAACTCCTTCTCTTTGAGAACCTAAGAACCAAATTTTCTTCATCACTGTAATAATTATTATCTAAATTATTTTCACAATGGGTAACTACTAGCATTGTGGATGAGACAATTGTGACAGATTCTTGAATTTTAGGATGTCTTGGTCCTACCCCCAAAAGCCATTAGCATTCCTCCCCAACCAAAAATGCCTTCCACAGTTTCTGTACCCCAGAGGGGCTGGTGCCATTCTGAACTAGAAATTTTATTTCTGAGAGATCTTTGGTATGGAGCTACTTACTAGAACTTATCATAAATATATATATTTTACGTTTTTGTTTTGGTTTCTCATTCCTGATTTTAAAAAAATAGAGCCAATTTCTAGATCTGTTGTTTTTTATACCAGTTAACTTTAGGCAGTTTCAGTGATTGTTTTTCTCTGTTACTCAGACAAGGAAGGAAAACTGCCTCAATATATTTTTCTTCATCTGGCAAGGATGCTTTAATTGTCAAATGTTCCTATACTAAATGGTGAAAAAGTGGCTCTTGTATTGCTCATGCCTTGGCAGAGAGGCTCACCTGTTGTGTGGTCTAATGACTCTTTACGTTTTCTCTCTCTGCTTTCCCCTCAGCACTCCTGTGGGAAGCCTCTTGATGGCACTTCAAAAGTACTGTGGTGAGACTGTCCAGGAGAGAAAACAGAAAGATCGAAAGGCGCTCCATGATCTGAAACTGGAAGAGTGGTAAGGAGCATGTTAAGACCAGGAAATCTGACTTTCCTAACTCTCGGTCTTATGTAGTGGTGCTGTTAGTCACGTACCCTAAACTCAATTCTAATGAGGATCTTTCTTTAGATACTTTTTTTTCAGGTAAAAATGTTGTAAATCTCATTTGGTTGCGTGTTTTTTTCTCTTCCTGTGTTCTTGACTGCATAGGAAATTACCTAAAGGGAATGCACATTAAGGAGTGAGCTTACTTGGCTAATTATTTAAAAGGTGATATGCCCTTTTATGTATACATCTATAAGTAATACAAAGCATGTTAAGTCTGCACATTCAAAGATTCTACTTCTTGCTGTAGACGCAGAGGAATTTGGTAGACACAGTGGCTGCTCATGGACTAAATGCCACTGAGGAACCTGAAAACTTTTGCCTGTTCCATCTAGTCATTTCCTGGGATCCAGTTATCTGGGTTAGGATAATCAGACTGAAAGCAGACTTTTTGCAGATTCTGTGTAAAATCAATATAACAGGCTGCCATCTAGTGGTCCTGAGTACAAATGATTCCACAGTTCTGCTTCCTGGGTACCTAAGATGGCATCTGCTGCAGTGCCTGTTTATGTTTTGATAGTTGGATAGATGAGAAATCATTTTTTTCCAGTGTTTCTATTTGAAACCTTCATTTCTGCTGAACATACACACAGACACACACAGAAATTCTTAAAAGCTACAAGTCTATTGTCCAATGACTTGGGTGCTATGGAGGAAAAGCATTGATTTTGGAGCCCCAATGAAAAACTGGGCCTAAATCTCAGCTAGACTATGAGTTAGTTATATGACGTTAGATATTTTCCTTAATGTAAAGTCTTCAGTTTTCTCACCTATTCTAGGGGTAGAATCATACCAGTTTGCTCATTATATGTTTGTTTCATTCCTTCCTATTCATGGTAAGAGGGCAGGTGGGACTTGCAGTTATCTAGCTTCTAGGATGAAGCCCTTAAAATTCTGAATGGCAGTGTAAAATCTGACATCATGGAAAATTAAAAGGATGAAAGCATTATGTTATTTCTAGTTCTCTAGGTGTCATAAGAGATGTCTATTTTTAAAAGAAGCTTTGAGAAAGAGGTTAGAAAGGTAAGGAAAGTATATTCACTATTTGACTCTGATATCAGATTTTATGGAATAATTAATAGTTGGAAAAATATGAACAAATAATAACTATTCCCATAAAAAAATAAAATGAGGGGGGGAAAAGAAGTTGATCAGTGATTTAGAGATAGAAAAATTTAAGAATGGATAAGGCTCACCTGGGGCCTGCCATTACTGGTGACCCTGCCTCCCTGACCAGCAGACCTACCACACACCCACATGCACCCCTCCAGAACCTGAGAATGGCCCTCTTGGTGACCCTTGTCCTCAGTAAAGCTGTGCTGCAGCCTCCAGAAACTCACAGACAAGGCCACCGAGGCACTTGCAGACATAACTGACATTGATTACTGCTGAAGAAATCACATAAAGCCTACACTACTGTGTCCACCCAGAATCAAAGCCAAAGCACCCTACCCTGCGGGGAGTTAACTACACTCACAGCAAAAAATCGAGTCCCTTAGGTAGGGGTCATCGCAAAGGATAAGAAAATAATAGAAAATGGAAAATAATAGAAATAAAAGAATGCACAGAGACGAAGGTACAGTTTTATAGATTTATAAAGATAAAAGGCAAAAGCGGGTTATTCAGGGGTCCCTACGATACCCCTGTGAATCGTAAGACCATGAGTGAAGTTTTACGTGGGTATTTATAGGTACAGAGATTGGTTGCCAAGGGTGACAGATTTACATAATAACAGGTAGTTCGTTTTAGGTTAAAAATATTACAAAAGGCTTCTATGGGTCCCTTAGCTAACTCTATCTATGTGTACAAATGTTTACAAAATCTTTCAAGGACAAACTTCTAAGTTCTAAGATAAAGCTATCACTTAACAGAAGGGTTAAACAGAGATATAATGGCTCCATATTTCTTTATGTAGTTATTGCAAATAGAGACAGGTCTTCAGAAGTCAAGCAGGAACTGTCCCTTGGGCTAATTGTTTTTAACTGCAGGCATCCCATGATTCTGTGCAGACCTTGCTTTGTCCTTCAAAGCAGGTGAGAACCACAGGGTTGAGACCGCAGCGCCACCTTGGAAAGCAGCTGCTACTGAACTTTGAGATGCCCTCCTGAGGTGGAGCAGCTTTTGATATGCAAACTAACATGTTCACATATTCTTTCAGGGCAGAGCCCTGCAAAACTCCTGAGACCATTTCTGTCTCTAATATAGTAATATTAATTTATGGAGCAACACTACCCAACTGACACTATAGGACCGACTTACAGGAAACAGTCTTTCCCTATGAAAGCTACTCCATAAAATTAGAAACAGTGACTGTTCCACCAGATGTGCAGATACCAATATAGGGACTTGAGAAACATGAAAAAGCAAGGAAACATGAAGTCTCTAAAGGAACGCAATAATTCTCCAGTAACAGTCCCCCAAGAAAAGGAAATCTATGAAATGCCTGAAAAGGAATTCCAAATAATTATACTATTAAGAAAACTGAACAAGATGCAAGAGACTACACCTAGGCAATTCAAGTAAATCAGGAAGACAATTCGTGATCTGAACGAGAAACTCAACAAAGAGGTAGGTATCATAAAAAAGACCCAAACAAGTCTTGGAACTGAATAATCCAATGAGTGAAATAAAAAATACAATTGAGAGCTTCAACAACAGATCAAGAAGAATTTCTGAACATGACATCAGGTCTTTTGAACTATCCCAGTGAGACAAGAAAAAGAAAAAGAATAAAAAAGAATGAAGAAAGCCTACCAGACTTATGGGATATTATGTGAACAAATATTTGGGCATTATGACATTTCCAGGAGTAGAGGAGATGGGAAAAGACATAGAAAACCTACTTAATAAAATAGTAGTCGAAAACTTCCCAAGTCTTGGGAGAGATGTGGACATCCGGTTTAAGGAAAGCTCAATGATCCCCAAATAGATTCAACCCCAAAACATGTTCTCCAAAGCACATTATAGTCAAGCTGTCAAAAGACAAAGACAAAAAGAGAATTCTAAAAACAGCACGAGGAGAGTGGCAAGTCACATATAATGGAATCTTCATCAGACTAACATCAGATTTGTCAGTAGAAACCTTATAGGCCAGGAAAGAATGAGATGGTATATTCAAAGTGCTTAAAGAAAAAAAACCTTGCAGCCAAGAATACTGTACTTAACCAAGGTATTCTTCAGAAATGAAGGAGAAATACTCTTTTCCAGACAAGCAAACACTAAAGAAATTCATCACCGCTAGATTGCCCTATAAGAAATGCTTAAGGGAATCCTACATCTGGATATGAAACTGTGATAATTACCATTATGAAAACACATTGGTAGAGCAGATACACAAATGAGAAAGAAATTAAACTTTATCACTAAAGAAAACCACCAAACCACAAAGATAAACAGGAAGAAAGGAAAAAAGGATATATAAAACAAACAGGAAACAACAGAATCACAGGAGTAAGTCCATATCTATCAATAACAACATTTAATGTAAATGGTTTAAATTCCCCTATTAAAGGCTGGGCACGGTGGCTCACACCTGTAATCCTAGCACTTTGGGACACCAAGGCGGGAGCAATTGCTTGAGCTCAGGAGTTAAAGACCAGCCTGAGCAAGAGTGAGACCCCGTCTCTACTAAAAATAGAAAGAAATTGGCCAAACAACTAAAAATATATGTAGAAAAAGTTAGCCAGGCATGGTGGCACATGCCTGTAGTCCCAGCTGCTTGGGAGGCTGAGGCAGTAGGATCACTTGAGCTCAGGAGTTTGAGGTTGCTGTGAGGTAGGCTGACGCCATGGCACTCTAGCCCAGGCAACAGAGTGAGACTGCGTCCCAAAAAAAAAAATCATTAAGTATCTTTTCAAACCATAGCAGAATGAAACTAGAAATCAGTAACAAGAAGGACTTTGGAAACTGTACAAATACATGGAAATTAACTAAAACACTCCTGAATGACCAGTGGGCCAGTGAAGAAATTAACAATGTAATTTAAAAATTTCTAGAAACAAAAATGGAAATACAGCATTCCAAAACCTATGGGATACAGCAAAAGCAGCACTAAGAGGGAAGTTTATAGCAATAAATGCCTAGATTGAAAGTAGAAAGATTTTTAGTAAACTACCTAATATTGCACCTCAAGGAGCTAGAAAAGCAAGAACAAACCAAACCCCAAATCAGTAGAAGGAAATCAATAATATGGATCAGAACAGAGCTAAGTGAAATAGAGATTTTAAAAAAATATAAAAGATCAATGAAATGAAAACTTGGTTTTTTGAAAAGATAAACAAACAAAATCAACAAACCATTAGCTAAACTGAGAAAAAAGAAAAGACCCAAATAAATAAAATCAGAAACAAAAAAAGAGACATTACAACTGATACCACAGAAATACAAAGGTTTATTAGAGACTGTTATGAGTAGCTGTATGCCTACAAGTGGGAAAACTCAGAGGAAATGGATGCATTCCTGAACACACATACCCTACCTAGATTGAACCAAGAAGAAATAGAAAACCTGAACAGACCAATAATAAGTAACGAAATTAATAAAGTCTCCCAACAAAGAAAAGTCCAAGACCAGAAGACTTCATTGCTTAATTCTGACAAACATTTAAGGAAGAACTAATACCAGTTCTTCTCAAATTACAAGGGAATTCCCCCTAACTCATTTTACAAGGCCATGATTACCCTGATACCAAACCAGACAATGATACATCAGAAAAAGAAAACTACAGACTAATTTCCCTGAGAACATAGATACTAAAATCCTCAACAAAATACTAGCAAACCAAATCCAAGAGCACATCAAAAAGATTATACACCATGATCAGGTGGGATTTATCCCATGGATGCAAGGATAGTTCAGTATATATAAATCAATAAACGAGATACATCACATCAACAAAATGAAGGATAAAAACCATATGATCATCTCAGTAGTCATAGAAAAAGCATTGGATAAAATTCAACATCGCTTTATGATAAAAATCTGTCAATAAATTAGGAATAGAAGGAAGGAACACTTCTCAACACAACAAAGGCCATATGTGACAAACCCACAACTAATGTCATACTGAATAGGGAAATGTTGAAAGCTTTTTCCTCTAAGAACTGAAACAAGGCAGGGATGCCCACTCCCACCATTCCTATTCAACATAATACCAGAAGTCCTAGCCAGAGCAGTTAGGCAAGAGAAAGAAATAAAGGGCATCTAAATTGGAAAAGAGGAAGTCACATTGTCCCTGTTTGCAGACAACATGATCTTATATCTAGAAAAACCTAAAGACTCCACCAAAAAACTCCTAGAATAGATAAAAAAAAATTCAGTAAAGTTGCAGGATATAAAGCCAACATACAAAAGTCAGTAGTATGTCTGTACACCAATAATGAAGTAGCTAAGAAAAAAAAAAAAAGAAAGCAATCCCATTTATAATATCTACAATGAAAGTAGGAATAAATTTAACCAAGGAGGTGAAATATCTCTACAATGAATCTACAAAACACTGATGAAAGAAATTGAAGAGTACACACAAAAAAATGGAAGGACATCCTATATTCATGAATTGGAAGAATTCAAACTGTCAACATGATCACCAAAGTGATCTACAGATTGACTGCAACACTATCAAAATTCTGATGATGTTCTTCATAGAAATAGAAAAAGCAATCTTAAAATTCATATGGAACCACAGAAGACCCCAAATAGCCAAAGTAATCCTGAGCAAAAAGAACAAAGCTGGATCATCACTTTACTCGACTTCAAAATATACTGCAAAAACCTATACTAATCAAAACAGCATGGTAGTGGCATAAAAACAGACACATAGACCATTGGAACAGCGTAGAGAACCCAGGAATAAATCCACATCTGTACAGCCAACTGATTGACAAAGGCACCAAGAACATTGGCAAAAGGATAGCCTCTTCAATAAATGGTGCTGGGAACAGTGGATACATAGAGGAATGAAACTAGATGTCTGTTTCTTGGTGTATATAAAAATTAACTCAAAATGGATGAAAGAGTTAAATGTAAGACCCAAAGTTACAAAACTATTAGAAGAAAACATAAGGGAAACACTTCAAGATGTTGGTCTGGGCAAAGATTTTATGGATAAGACACCAAAATCACAGGTAACAAAAGCAAAAATAGATAAATGGGATTATATCAAACTAAAAACTTTCTGCACAGCAAAGGAAATAATCAACAGAATAAAGACACAACCTGAAGAATGGGAGAAAATATTTACTAACTGTTCATCCAATAGGGGATTAATATCCAGAATATACAAGGAACTAACTCAACAATACAAAAACAAACAATCCAATTAGAAAATGGGTAAATGATATAAATAGACATTTCTCACAAAAAAGACATACAAATGGCCAAAAAGTGTATGAAAAAATACTCAACATCACTAATCATTAGGGAAATGTAAATCAAAACCACAATGTGAACCCATCTTACCTCAATTAGAATGTCTGTTATCAAAAAGACAAAAAATAATTCTGGCAAGGATGTAGAAAAAAGGGAACTCTCACAAACCATTGGTGGGAATGTAAATTAGTTCAGCTATTAGGGAAAACAGTGTGGAGGTTCTTCAAAAAAAAAAATAGAAGTGCCCTGTGATCCAGCAATCTCATTACTGGGTATTGAGATCAGTGTATCAAAGAGGTATCTGCACTCTCATTCTTTTTGCAATGCTGTTCACGATAGCCAAGATATAGAATCAACGTAAGTGTCCATCAACAGATGAATGGGTAAAGAAAATGTGGCTATATACACAATGGAACACTATTCAGCCATAAAAAAGAATGAAATCCTGTTATTCACAGTAACATTGATGAGCCTGGAGGACATTATTTTAAATGAAATAAGCATAGAAAGACAAGTTCTCACTCATATGTGGGAGCTAAAAAAGTTGACCTCATAAAAGTAGAGAGTGCAGTTAGGTTTACTAGAGGCTGAGGGAGGGGGACATAGAGAAGGAGGCATAAGAGAGGTTGATTACCAGATACAAAATTATAGCTAGATAGGAAGTATACATTCTAGTGTTCTGTGGCACTATAGGGTGATTGTAGTTAACAATAATTTATTGTATATTTTCAAATAGCTATAAGAGGATTTTTTGATGCATTATATTTGTATATATTTATGGGGATACATGTGAAATTTTGTTAGATGCATAGTATATGTAATGATCAAGGCAGGGTATTTAAGGTAGCCATCAAGTGGAGAGGATTTGGAATGTTCCCAACACTAAAATGATAAATGTTTGAGGTGATGAATATGCTAATTACCCTGATTTGATCATTATACATTGTCTACATGTATTGAATTATCATTTTGTACCCCATAAATATTTACAATCATGTGTCAGTTTAAAACAAGAATGGGTAAAAACAATAACTTGAATTATATTGATGAAAGTATACTTTGGCAGAATGAAATAATGTCAAAAATATGTAGTTGATGTATGTGTATGTGTGTGATATTTCTAAGAAGAGTTAATTCAGTAAATGTTTAAGTATATTATCACCTATTTGTCTGCTTCTTTGCTTGAAAAGAATATAAGGAAATCACACAAACTGAGAATCTGAAAAATTGCCTTAGTGTGCAGAAAATGTAAAAAACTGACTTTAGAGAAATGGAAAAAGAAATGGTCAAATCTGTTTGTGAAGAGTTGAGAAGAAAGTTATTGGTGACCCTGATACTCAAAGAAAGGAAGATATTAATACTTGATTTAGAGAAATAGCTGATCTGTTATTTGGAAATCAGGTTTTAACTCTTTGTAAATATACATATATAGTATTGTCCTATCTGACTCTTCCTACCTAAATTACCATTGTTACAGCCTTTGTCTAGTTCCTAAAGATCTGGTGACAGAGAGTTTAACAGAGTGGCGGGGTGCTCACATTTCTCTAGCCCTGGGAGCAAGAGGACAGCCAGGCTTTGAACCTCATACCTTAGTGCAGGGTGTGTCAGCTTCCACATATCACCCTGTGAGAAATCTAGGCCCCGGCATGCTGGAATGTTTTATGGATGAGAGCTGCTGCCACGACAGTATCCATTTGGTGATGTGGGAATCATAGTTGCCTTGTGAGTAGAACAGGTTAGGAGAAAAGAAAGTTGTTATATTTGAAGTGCAAGGAGCAGTGTTTGCTCCTACGTTATCTTACCAAAGCAGGGGAGAGTAAGACAAGTACTGTCATTTTTGTTTCAAATCTCTGTAAGAACTAAAGAAATGATGCAGTACTTGATATATCTCTTTTGTCGTTTGATTACAGGAAAGCCAGACTACAAGTTACTGAGCTCCTCCCTGGGGAAATTGAAAGTAGCATACAAAAAAATCAATCTGAAGAGGATGCTAAGAAAATTGAAGAACTGCTAAACCTTCCTAGAAACCCTTCAACAACAGATAGACAAGAGAAGGACTGAAAATGCTCTGGACTTGAAACTCAGCTGGAGAGTTGAAGGGAGCTGTGTTGCTAGGCCCATTGCATGCCGACAGTCAGGCCACTCTTTGGTCAGCCTGCTGACAAATGTAAGTGCTGGCACCTGTGGTGGCAATGACTTGCTCTTATCTTTTTTTAACCACGACTGGAGCTATTATACTCTCACTTTATTTATCCTTAAATTTAAATACAAACTTAAATGATCTATCATTCAATCTATACACATAGATTTCTTTTCCCTGGATTTTGACAGTAAATAAAACATTTCCTAAAAGGTGAATTCTACCAGTTATATACTTATTCATGTGGTCCTTTAAAAAGGTACTCTAAGAATCACTGGGAGGAGAAGAAAGAACCAGGTAAGGCTAATGGTCTGTGAAACCTGTGTGCCCTTGGGTCCCGGAGGCCGTATGGGCCTGAATATGTGTTTGGTTTTGATATTAATAAAAACCAAAGGTGATTCCTGTGCCATTTGGAATAAAATACAAATTTAACAAAAAGGAAGTAGATCAGCATTATTAAAGAAACAGTTCAACTTTGTTTCTTCTCGTAGTACTGCTGACAAAGGATCTGTGGAATTGTATGCAGCAGTTACTTAGACTATACTTGCCCTTAGCCAAAAGGCAGAGGAGGGATGCAGGAGTTACTCAGAATGGACACCTAGTCCCTCCACTCCAGGAGCTTGCTGCCTGTGAAGGAAGCTGTCCTGTAGATTGTAACTGTTACTAAATGAGAAGGAAAAAAATTTCTGAGTTAAGCGTATGGTGGGGGAAAACTGCTAGTATTTTATGTTGTTCTTAGACCTCTCTGTTCCTACTCTGAGAATACTTTTATTCCACAAGAGCAAGGTTTGCAAAGGAGCATGATGTAGTAGCTAAAACCCTGGGCTCTAGAGGCAGACTACTGGCTTTGATCCCAGCCATGTGGCTTAGCAGCTATGTGATGTATAGCAAAGCCATTTTACTTAAAGTATCAGTTTTGTCATCTGCCAAATGAAATAATGTCTGTCTCAGAATGGATATGAAATGAAATGATGCATATAAAGCATTTAGCACAATGTTATGGCACACAGGGTATTATATAATAAATATTTGTAGTTATAAGGATACAAGAATCTTTGCAGCAGTATATTGGCACCATGATTTACATGTTACCACCACACTCCATAAGGCATGTTTTTCTTTATTATCCCATTCATAAATTACTGACAGATTGGCAAGTAGTCAGTCTCTTCATTGTTTTATTCACATCCACATATATGTTAAATATTTTAACTAGAAATAAAACTAGACAGTTTCTTTTAAAAATAATTTTATGTATACCACAGAAATATTTGTTAGAATAATAAAATACTCTTTGAAAAAATAGTATTAACATATTTACCAATTGTAACAATAATTATAAACAATTTAATATAATAATAGTGTTGTCTGACCAGGCGTGGTGGTTCATGCTTGTAATCCTAGCACTCTGGGAGGCCGAGGTGGGAGGATCGCTTGACATCAGGAGTTTAAGACCAGCCTGAGCAAGAGCGAGACGCCGTCTCTACTAAAAATAGAAAAATTAGCCAGTTGTGGTGGTGTATGCCTGTAGTCCCAGCTACTCAGGAGGCTGAGGCAGGAAAATCACCTGAGCCCAGGAGTCTGAGGTTGCTGTGAGCTAGGCTGACACCACGGCACCCTACTCAGGGCAACAGAGTGAAACTCTGTCTCAAATAAAATAAAATAAAATAAAATAATAGTGTTGTCTGTTGAGTTTTATAGCTAATTATCTCTGGAGGTCTTTTTCTGTTCTAAATTCTTAATAAACTCACTACCTGTGTGTGATTTAGTTTTGAAAATAAACCCAAGGTGGTATGTAATGTGTTATACAGAAGTTTCTTAGACTGTATAGTAGAATCTTTTTCCCTTATAGATACCAAAATTAAATATTCTAAATCCATCCACATTTGAGAAACTTGGTCATCTCTTGCTGTCCAACTCCCAATTTTCAGATGAGAATGTCTGAATGTCCCAGCTGAAGTTGGGTTCACTCCTGGTCCAGTTAATTGTGGAAGACAGTTTCAGAGAAAGAGAAGTCATGAGTAACACACAAACAGCACTTGGCTGTTTCTGCCTTTTCATTTCTCTGCTGTCAGAAAAATACAGAAATACCAAAGAGGAAAAGCAGTGTTAGGGATTGAAGGAGGCCCTCTGGAATGCTCTTATCACCTCAGACATTTGAAGGTAGCTTACTGCTTAGTACGTACCCAGTAAAAAATGATCTCATTTTAAACGAGAACTTTCTCATAAATATTTTATTATGAAATCAAACTAGCATAAAGCCATTTAAAGAGATTATTAGTCCAATATGAACCAGTTGATTGTGTCTTTAGACTATCCCTTTCCAACCTGACTATTGTTTTGAGGTATGTAAATCACTTATCTTACACGTCAGAGGAAATTAATTTTGGATAGTTCTACTTTCTCTTGCACCTGATGGGAAAGTAGGAGAACAAAGGAGAACACACTCAAAAATGGAACACTGGCTAAACACTGGTAATATTTTCACTATCTTCATGCAGATGTATGTATTATCATATTTCCCACACATTACATTGGGCTTTTTAAAATAGCAACATAATATTTTTCTTCAGTAATTGCATTAGGAAATCAGATCAAGTCTCTGAAGTTGACTTGATGTTGAACAAATTCTGTCTCAAGAAGCACTTTGACAGATGTCACACACACACAACCAGTTAACAGGCCAGAGTCAAACTGATGAAGGGAGAGAGTACCAGAGCCTGGAAATCTGGGTCCTGGCTCTGGTCTTTATAATTCAAGCCACCTCCCTGGGCCTCAGTGCCTTTGTCATCAATAAGACTAAAGTCCCTTCCAGACCTAAAGAGTTCTGTGTTTCAAAACTCCTTGATCAAGGTCACTGGAGCTACTTCTGTGCCCACCGTATTTCTCTAGACACTTCCAGAAAAGCAACTGAAGTGAAGAAACTCCTAGAGAACAGGATACTTGAAGGGCAAGGCTCAGTAATTCTGGCCATCTGAAGAAGTTCCCAGAAGTCAAATGCAAATGGAGATGTGACCTGAGAAAACAAAATAAATAAGTACTTCAAACTGTAAATTAGCAAGGGAGGAAAATATTTTAAATCTTTATATTTTTTTATCTCAAGGCCAGAGGTATTCCCAACTTGAGGTAACATTGTGGATATTAATCTTGATAGCTAAAGAATATGAAGGGTGCGCTAAATTATGAGAGAACTAGTCTGACAACTTTCAACTACATTTATGAGGCAAATGTTTCTTAAGCATCAGCCATCACCAAACAACCAAGGCACTTTTCTATGTGTGGGGCAAACAGAGATGTTTCTGGCATGGTTGCTCTTTTCAGTAAGCCTGCAATCTGGTAAGGGATATGAGTAAGATGTGGCACCTGAAAATAAACCCAAGCTGCCTCAACTTTGACAAGTCAAAGTTGAACTGTTTAGGGCGGCCATAACTACCCTGGACCTCATGTCAGTCTCTTGGATTCCAGTGTGCCAGAGTTTCTCTTACATGAGAAGACCTGAGGATTTTAGGAGAACATAAAGTCAATACAAGTTAACAATGTGGCTGTCACAAAAGTTAATGCTGTGTTAGGCTCTCTTAACAGGAAGAACATTCCAGACCCCAGAGAGTAATTATCCCATTACATGTAGAGTCATTAAGACCAAATCCAAAGTCTTGGGCTCCATTTACTGACATCTAGCAAGTGCACGTGAAGAGCAATCGAAAGAACTGAGGATGTTTTAGACTGATCAGCTGGAATGTGGAAAGTTAAAAGTTTTGAAGCTTTTCCTGTACTGTAGGCACTGGGGTCTCTTCTGAGTTTCTGAGTGGGAAAATGACATGGCAGAGTAATTCTTTATGAAATTTGGCTCCGTGATTGCTCAGTAGGATGAGTCTGTCAATTAGAGACAGAAACCAATGAAGATGTTACTGTGTTAGTACAAAGTGACCCCGATCTGTGTCCGTAAGTACGGAGGGAAAGTGAATGATTAGATTAAGAAGTTAGCCCAGGAATATTACTTCAAAATGAACATAAAGTAGTGTTTTATAGCTAATGGAAGTCATTGAATTGGTGACAAGAGGGAAACATTTCAAGGTGGCAGACCGGCACAGTGAGGGAAAAGGCATGTTAAGTAAATTGCAGGTGGGGAGAAAGAGATCGATGCAAAGCATCCCGTGTCTATTTAGAGTAATCTGAATGAGGTTTTTGAGAACGTGGGGTAGGAGGTAAAAGAGCTTAAATTTGGTACTAAGAGGTAGAGGAAACTGTGCCTCATGGTCCACATGCTCCCATGCACCCCACATTGGCAGAGAAGAGCTAACGAAGGCAACCTTCAGACGATCCGTTCAGCCTATGCTTCTGCAGCTCCTATAAAGATAGGCGACATCCTCTCCATTTCCAATCCCTCCTCATTCCTTCTCTTTCTCCTTCTTGAGGCAAATCCTTGGAGACAAGCATAAATGACAAAGACGATGGGTGAGTTTCCCTTAATTCATGCCCGTATATTTTGGCAAGAGCAATAGTTCTCAAACCAGGGGTGATTTACAGCTCTCTCCATCCCAGGGACTTTTGGCAATGCTTGGAGGCATTTTTGGTTGTCACAACTGGGTCATAGAGTGAGTAAAGGTTCGGGAAGCTGCTAAACATCGTACAATGCACAGAACAACACTCCAAAGAATTATCTGCCCCAAATACCAAAAATGCTGAGGATGAGAAACCCTGAACTAGAGAGGTAAGGCTGGAGAGTTTGTATCAGAAACATCCAGACCTCTCTATCCTACCCATGAGGTGAGTTGTTCACAGCACAGTCTCTAGTGACTTCATGGAGCTTTGACATTTTTGTGTGTGCAGAAGCCTGGGAAAATCATATGTTGGTCTTCCAATTTTCTTTGTTCAGTATACATGATTTCTACTACAGAAAAGGGCTGGTACCCCTTCATGGTGATTATGGCTATAGCTCTGACCTAGCAGTTCCTTTTCATTTAATCACAGAGATTGAAGTCAGCATATATATATAAGGCCAAAAATGTAATTCATAGAATAAAATATCTTAGCCATCTTTCATCAACCATTCCTGATCTTTCATCCAAAAATGTATTGTGAAGAACTGAAAATTGGTAAAATCACACATGACCATGTAGTTTGTCAACTTTATTAGTGCATCTCACCCTCCTCCAAGAAAATTATTCTTGACTCCCCTCCCAAATCTTGTCATTCTGCCTTTCCTCCAACTCCAAATCAAAGATTAGAATGTCATTTAGCATCAGAAATTTTTTCAAATTAGTTAGTAAACCTCAGAGTCCAAAAAATGTCAAGTTAGGGAAAAATAAAAGGACTAAACTAGAATGTGTCTTGAGGGCAGTGACCTCTTGTTATTGCACCTCAGAGAGATGCTGAACCATGCTGATAGAGTTTGGCTTCCAGGAATTGAGATCAGGATGGCAGTACGATAGTACTTACTGTGGACCCAGCACCATATTACTGCAATGATTACTGGAACAGTGATCACAGGAATCATTATTGCTAGTAGGATTGTAGAGGTCTGGAATGAAGGCGGATTGTCAGGAAAATCCTCTGGCTTAGCTGTGGAGGGAAAAGAATAATGTAAGCTGTAATCTGTTTCCCACTGCCCGATAACCCATTCTATGCCTCTTTTATTGATGCAACTGTGGAGTATTCTCTACTTCTTTGCCTGGTCAGCTCTCCAATATGCAGCTGCTAGCATTTTTCTTGCGTAATTTTTCAATAAGACACACACTGTGGGCAACTAATATTCAGAAGTCAGATATTAAATGTGAAAAAGACAATCTGAACTTCCGCATTTTACTGTGTTAAGTTGGCATAAAAACGATTCTAAGGAGATACTTTTTTTAAAAAATTTTTTATTTCAGCATATTACAGGGGTACAAATGTTTAGGTTACGTATATTGCCTTTGTCCCACCCGAGTCAGAGCTTCAAGCTCATCCACCCCCCAGACGGTGCACACTGCACCCATCAGGTGTGAATATACCCATCCTCTCCTCCCCCCTCCCATCTGCCTGACCCCCGATGAATGTTACCACTATATGTGCACTTAAGAGTTGATCAGTTAATACCAATATGATCATGAGTACATGTGGTGCTTGTTTTTCCATTCTTGTGATACTTCACTTAGTAGAATGGGCTCCAGCTCTATCCAGGATAATACAAGAGGTGCTAGATAACCATTGTTTTTTGTGGCTGAGTAGAACTAACTCCATGGTAAACATATACCACATTTTATTAATCCACTCATGTATTGATGGGCACTTGGGTCATTTCCACATCT